CGGGCGACCCCACCGCCGCAGCGCAAGACTGCGGGGCGGGGGGCCCGACTACCGCAACACGAGCCCTGACGTCACTGCCGCGCCAGGCCCAGCGCCGTCGCACGCGCTTGCGCATTTCACTGTCGGCCCCGCCTATGACTGATCACCCACCCCTGCACCGAGCGCTTGCGCAGGGCCCCGCCCTCACCACGACCGTTGACCCTGCGCGCCTGCGTACATCACCAGCACATTCTGTGGGCTTGTTCAACGCCGCACTTGGCCTTCCTGTGCACTGGCCTGAGCCCTACCCTAGCGTTTTCTTACTGCTCGCACAGCGACCCCCGAGTCCTTGGACGCCCACGTAGTGACCAGATCTCGGCCCCACACAGGTCAGGTGGCTGGGTTGAGGGGACCCGCCGGCAACGGCTAGGAGGCTGGCTGGTTCAAGCGCTACACTTGTGAAATGGCCGTTATTAGACATTCCATTGTGTAAACACCACCAAGACCTGGAGCGGTCCTGCGAACTCCAGGGCTTGCTGGCCGGTGGTTTTAACAACACTCCCTCCGTCCCTGGCCGGCACTGGACACAGGACGATGCTTCCAGGAAAGTGCAGTGAGGCCAAATTCCTGTGTGAGGGACCAGCAGTTGGAGTAATGGCTATGTTACTGTACTCCCATGTTGTCAACGGTGGTTCAAGTCCCAGATCCAGTGGTTTAAACTCACACTGGGCGCGTGTGCGTGCATGCCCAAGATCCCGAGAGAATGGAGAAGGGACTGTGGCGTGGCCGTCCCCCCTGTGGGGTGCTTTCTTCGCTCTCTTTCTGGCAAGCGCACGCACCCTATAGCAAACACCTCTAAAAAAAAAAGAAAAAAACTGTGTGGAAATCAACTCAAGATTTCTTTACAAACATTGCCCATGATCTGGATTCCCAGCTACCCACGAGACTTAATACAATAGTGGGGTTCGCATTGAGGGCAACTATGGAAGTTTCCCATGACACACACAGGTCGACTTCTACATGCCATGAGAGTAGAATAGGACACACACAAAATTGCAGTGAAGGCCGAGATGCCCAGGCATACCTCATCTGGAGCAAATGGCCAAGTGTTTGGGCTTTTCTCTGGAAGCAATTTAGCAGCACTGGCAGTGAGTGCTGCTCCAGAGAAGTTGGTATTAGTCAGTGTGTACAAATCAGTATTAAAAGGCAAACTTGGGAGCCAGCAGGAGGTGGTGTGGTCAGGTGAACTCCCACAGGTGGTGTGGTGGCCCTGGATTCCCACATGGCTGAAACAGTCTCGGACCTGGCGACCTGAAAGTCATGCCAATTGTACGTATGGGCATGCCCAAGAACCAAGAGAATGGACTGCACATGGCCATGGTGGAGGGGACTTCTCACTTTCTCTTTGTCTCTCCTCTCCAGACAAGTACACGGTGCCCTATGGCATAAACCTTAAATAAAATAAGGGACCAGCAGATGGCATAATGGTTTCATCACTGGACTCCCACATGGCGAACTGTGGTTTGAGTCTGGGACTCAGAGGCTTGAGACTCACACCAGGCGCATGTGTGTGTGTGTGCCCAAAATCCCAAGAACAGAATGGAGAAGGAACTGCAGCATGTCCATCACCCTTGGGAGATTTCTCATTTTCTGTCTCTGGTGAGTGCACGCACACTGTAGCAAAATCTCTCTCAAAAAAATAAATAAAACAAACCTGGGAGCCAGCAGGTGGCTTGGTGGTTAAGGTGCTGGGTCCTACATGGCAGACTGTGCAATTTGAGTCTCAGACCTGATAGCCTGAAAAACACTGAGTGTGTGCATGTGTGTCTAAAATCCAGAGAGAATGGAAGAAAAGGGATTGCAGGGTGGTCATCCCCTGTGCCCAAGGGATTGTGGTGTGGCCATTCTCTCTGGAGAGTAGGGGGAGTGATTTCTTACTTTCCTTCCCATCTCTCTCCAGGGGGGTTCACGCCCTATGGCAAAAACCTTAAAAACAAAAAACAGCCAAGGTTGGTCTGGTAGTGTGGCAATTAAAGGGTATACATAGCAAGTCAGATCCCACATGGCCCACCAGGATTCCATCCTGGCCCTTGTGGCACATACCAGGTACTTCTGCAAGCTGTGTGCCTGCATTCCAGAAGGAATGGAAGAAAAGGATTTCTGTCTCTGACAAGTGCATGTGCCCTCTGGAAATTAAAAAAAAAAAAAAAGAAAAAGAAAAGAAAAGAAAACTTGGTTGATTTTGTTCTAATGGGACAATGTAGGGGAGAAAATCTGGAGTAACCAAGAAGGTGCCAGAAAATGTACCTAACACTGCCATTCAGCACTGTTTGAATTACTGGTTTTAACTATTAGCCATTTATTCAATATCAAGACAAGTTAATGCCTTTAATGATTTGTGCAATTTCTCTGTATTATGCAATAAAACATTTGGATGCAACAACAGCTGCCCAACCATCTTCAGTACACTTTCTGCCCTGAGCTGGACATAATCTACAGCCTTGTCTTCCCTACTCCTGGCATGGTTTGAATACTGTGTCCCCCCAAATTCACATGTTGAAATCCTCACCCCCAAGATAATGGTACTAGGAGATGGAAATGAGAGAAATGATTAAATCCAAAGATGGAGCCCCCATGAATGGAATTAGTGTCCTTAAAACACACACCCCAGAGACCAGCATTTGGTGTAATGGCTATGTCGCTGGACTCCCATGTAGTTGACCACAGTTCGAGTCTCATACTTGGTGGCTTAAACTCTCTGGGTGTGTGTGCATGCGTGCCCAAGATCCCAAGAGGAGAATGGAGGAGAAGGGATTGCGGTGTGGCCATCCCCCCTGGGGGGTGATTTATCGTTTTCTGTCTCTATTTCTCTCTGTTCTACTGGCAAGCGCATATGCCCTATAGCAAAGACCTCTCCCCACCCCCCAAAAAAGGAAAGAAAAAAACAACCCAAAGAGCTTTCTCAGCTTTCTACTGTGTGTGGACACAGTGAAAAAGTGGCATTTTTGGGGACCAGCAGTTAGCGTAATGGCTATGTCACTGGACTCCCACGTAGTCGACCGCGGTTTGCGTCCCGGACCCGGTGGCTTAAAACTCACGCTGGGCACATGTGCTTGTGTGCCCAAGATCCCGAGAGGAGAATGGAGGAGAAGGGATTGCGGCGTGGCCATCCCCCCCCACCCCGGGGGATGATTTCTCGCTTTCCATCTCTCTGTCTCTCTCTGTCTGGCGAGCGCATGTGCCCTATAGCGAAAAACCTCTCCAAAAAAAAAAAAAGGCATTTTTAACCTGGAAGAGGGCTCTCATCAAAATCCAACCATGCTAACACCTGATTTTGAACCCTAGTTCCCCCACTTTCTTTGCACTAAGAGTGCCTTGATTACTCTGTGACCAACCAGCTGTATGATTTCCCCTGCAGGCTTGAGTCTAAGCCAGGGCCTGAACATTCCCAAACAGTGACAAAGATGTGTAAGTTGCTGCCCATAATACCAAAAGAAACTGGCCCCAGCCCTGAACCAAATTTCACAGACCCTTATATAAACTCCATACCCTGTCTTCCTTGTCACAGATGCATCTATGGGATAGGTTGTCTATCCCATTTCTCTCAATGTCCATCATAAGGAAATACTGCAACACGCTTTTTAAGGTTCCCTTGTAAATGCTTTAGGCAGATCATCCTGGTGTTTAGTGCAGCTTTCTTTAGAATCCCAACTGGCCCCATCTCGGGATAGTATGGAGCAGTCCCTGTGGAAACTCTCCTGCCACTGCTTTTGGGGTGACACCAGACATGGATTTGGCAGGATGAAACACACCCAGTGTACACAGTATAGTCCATGGTACAGGTTGAATACACTTCATCCAAAATGGATGGGACCTTGGGGACCAGCAGTTAGCATAATGGCTGTCGCTGGACTCCCATGTAGTCAACCGTGGTTCGCGTGCTGGACCTGGTGACTTAAAACTCACACTGGGCGCATGTGCGTGCGTGCCCAAGATCCCAAGAGGAGAATGGAGGAGAAGGGATTGTGGCGTGGCCATCCCCCCTGGGGGGTGATTTCTCACTTTCTGTCTCTCTGTTTCTCTCTGTCTGGCGAGCGCATGTGCCCTATAGCAAAAAAAAAAAAAAAAGTCTCCAAAAAATACCAAAATGGATGGGACCAGAAGCATTTCAGGTATGGGACATTTTCAAATTTTGGAATATTTGCATGTATTGTAATGAGTTATCTTGGAGATGGAACCCAAGTCTAAACACAAAATTCATTTATGTTTTATATATACCTTATACACGTAGCCTGAACACAATTTATACATCTTTTGTATTGCAACATTCTGTGACCTATAACAAGATCAGGTTTGTAATTTTCCACTTTTGGTGTCATGTCCATGCTCAAGAAGTTTCAGATTTAGAGCATTTCAGATTTCAGATTTTTGGATCAGGGATGTTCCAATGTGTACTTTCTTTTTTTTTTTTTTTATTCAAATGTGTACTTTCTTAGAGTAGCCTGAACTGCCCAAGACTGCTTTAACTCTTTTTTCATTCACTTTTAGTCAATGTGTATCAATGGAGTGCTACCTCCTGACTTACTGGGATAAGCTATGCTGGAGGACACTTAACATGTCCCATAAGGCAAGTGTCCAGCAAAACTGCATGGCATGGATAGCTCATGGGGACTGGAAATGAAGAGGCAGAAGCTCAAGTAGACAAAAGTAGAGAGGGAGGGACAGCAGGTTTGGGGTCAGGTGGACATGAGTCAGGAGCCCAGGACAACAACTTGACTTTTGGTCTGAGCAGCCTCAAGGACAGAGCAACCAGATGTCACAATGAAAACAAGATAGCTTTGTAAGGAACACAGGTTCAGTTTTGAGCTTGTTAGCCCAATGAGCCACTGGCCATAGGAGCGTGTATCACATGAGTGGCAGGTACAGTGCCTAAGATGTGCTGGGAGGCCTGGCTGGGGCACGGGGCACTGGGCGCCATGAGGGTAGATGATGGGTCTGTTGGAGTGAGGAAGGTGGAGGTCAGGGAGTGAAGGGGCAGCAGAAACTCGAGGTCCATCATAGCACGAGGAGTGCTGAGCACAGTGGATGGCACTGCAACCTTGGTGAAAGGTGAGGGAGGGAGGTCAGAGCAAGTGTGGACAGCATAGCTGGGCATTCGGCCTCAAGTCCAACAGGGGTTAAGGAATCAGCGGAAAAATATGGATTTAAGAAAGGCAATTCACACAAGAACCTTGTAGGGTAGAGCTGCAGGTGGGACTGATGTCACCAGGCAAGATTGAAGTCTTGCACATGGTGTAAGGAAAGCAGCCAGGGCCAAGTCTCTGGGACAGGTACAGAGGTGGTGGGTATCCCTACACAGGATCTGCTCAGAAAGGGCTGAAGGGCTGAGGAGAAACAAAAGAGCCTCTCAGGTGGGGTTCTGTCCAGCCCTCTTGGCTGCAATGCCGTATCACAGGCATCCACCTCCCCAAGTCATCCTCAATGGCACTTCACTAATTGTGTCTGGCCCTTCAGGTCTAAGACAGCCTGAGAGCCAGGACCCTTAGAAATTTCAGGATAGAGATAAAGAACAGTCCTAGGACCTCGGATTCCCAGATAGAGACAGAGAAACCCCAATCCTGGGTCTGATGTGTCTGCATCTGGTATGTGTTTTTGTCTGTAGGAACTTGGTAGAGTACAAAACCAGCCCTAGGAATACTAAGTAGCAGGTGACTGTACACAGACCTATAATTTCAGTGATCTGTACACTGGATTAGGAGCCAGAAACAACTAGGGCAGGTTGCTCCTAAGGCCCTTTGGAGAGGAAAGTATCTCCCCAGGGGGCAGTCTTAGCAGGGAAGGGCCCTGAGAAGGGAAGAGGGGCAGGCAAACCATAGGTATAGTTCTTTTTTTTTTAAGTATTAATTAATTTTTAAAATTCTGACAAGAGAGAGTAAAAGTGAGAAAGCAAGCTGCCAGGTCCAGGACTTGAATTGTGAGCCAGGACCCTTAGAAATTTCAGGATAGAGATAAAGAACAGTCCTAGGACCTCGGATTCCCAGATAGAGACAGAGAAACCCCAATCCTGGGTCTGATGTGTCTGCATCTGGTATGTGTTTTTGTCTGTAGGAACTTGGTAGAGTACAAAACCAGCCCTAGGAATACTAAGTAGCAGGTGACTGTACACAGACCTATAATTTCAGTGATCTGTACACTGGATTAGGAGCCAGAAACAACTAGGGCAGGTTGCTCCTAAGGCCCTTTGGAGAGGAAAGTATCTCCCCAGGGGGCAGTCTTAGCAGGGAAGGGCCCTGAGAAGGGAAGAGGGGCAGGCAAACCATAGGTATAGTTCTTTTTTTTTTAAGTATTAATTAATTTTTAAAATTCTGACAAGAGAGAGTAAAAGTGAGAAAGCAAGCTGCCAGGTCCAGGACTTGAATTGTGGTTGGCCACGTGGGAGTCCAGTGCTCTAACAATCACACCACTTGCTACACCCAGGTATAGTTCTTATACTTTAGAACAGCTGGCACCCAAGGGCCCCTGTGCATGAAATGATAAGTAGTATCCCAGGTACTCCTAAGCTAGGAAGACAGAGCTGGGGAGTGGCAGGCACTTCTTGCCTAGCTGGCTATATCACAACCCTGCAACAGTGTCCAAAATCCACAAGCCTGACCTAGACCAATCCTAAACCTTCTCATCCTCTCTGAGTTCCAAAGTCCCCTGTCTGACTCTGAGCCAGTACTTATCAGACAAGCCAAAAACTACAGGGCTGGGATGCATACTGAGAAGGAAGACAGTGACAAGAGGCAACAGCTTAGAGAACGTATAATTTAAAGACACCTCTCTTCTCTACATCATCTCCAGGGTGGCTCCCAGTTGCAGTCATTTCTTGGTTTTGGTCCAAAACTGTTTATAACGCTCAGCATCAAAGTCATCACTGAGCTCTGGCTCCTCTTCCTTTTTCTGCTGGAACTGTGCCTCACGTTTCCGGAACCTGGCCCTGCGCTCTTCAGGAGATAGGGTGTCCAAATCTATGGGCATCTGCAGGAAGTGGGAGTAAGAGGGAAAGTGGTCAAGGTGTTGTCCACATGGCTCAGGACCTTTTTTTTATCTGCTATTCTACACTAGCTTAATTGTTTAAAAAAGTTCTGTTGATCTTTCTCGCCCTTCAAAATTTCCTTTTTCCTTTTTTTTTCTTTTTGTTCCTCTTAGTTTTTTAAGATTTTATTTTATTTATTTTTTTCTTTTTTTGGAGAGGTTTTTGCTATAGGGCGCGTGTGCTTGCCAGACAGACAGAGAGAGACAGAGAGACAGAAAGCGAAAAATCCCCCCTCGAGGGGGATGGCCACGCCGCAATCCCTTCTCCTCCATTCTCCTCTCGTGATCTTGGGCACACATGCACATGCGCCCGGCGTGAGTTTAAGCTGCCGGGTCCAGGACTCAAACCGCAATCGACTACATGGGAGTCCAGCAACATAGCCATTACGCTAACTGCTGGCCCCAAGAATTATTTTATTTTATTAGTAGTATTTTTTTTTCACATGAGTTTGCCAGAGAAAGAGAGCAAGAAAGAGAGAGGGAGAAAGCAAGCCACCAGATCCAGGACTCAAACCACAGTCAGCCATGTGGGAATTCCAGTGCCTTAACCACCATGCTACCTACTGCCACCCCTCTTTTTTAAATATTTTTGTGGGGCCAGCAGGTGGCATGGTGGTTAAGAGTGCTGGACTCCCACATGGCCACCGTGGTTTGAGTACTGGATCTAGCGGCTTGCTTTCTCACTTTCCCTCTCTCTCTCTCACTCTGTCCCTCTCTGGTCAAATTAAAATAAATAAATAGATAAATAAAGTTAAATGATTCTTTGATTAAAAAAAATATTTTCACCATAGGGCAATGTGTACTTGTCAGAGACAAAGGGAAAGTGAGAAATCACCTCCCAGAAGGGATGGCTATGCCCGAATCCCTTCCCCTCCATTCTCCTCTTGGGACTTTGGGCATGCACATACAAGTGCTCAGTATGATTTTTAAGAAATTTTAGAGCAGCCTGAACTGGCTAAGACAGCCTTAACTCTTATTCATCTATTTACTCAATGTGTATCAACTTAGCACCTGAGACACTGGGATAAGTTCTGCGGGAAGACACTTAACGTGTCCCATGAGGTCCAGGACTCAAACCATGGAATTGGCCATGTGGTATCCAGTACCTTAATGACCATGCCACCTGCTGGCCCCTATTATTTTTATTTTTAATTGCTGAGGAGGGGTGTACTCCCCACAGACAGAGGCACCCCCACACGAGGCATGGTCATACCACAATCCCTTCTCTACTTCTCCATCCTGTAAAGATTTCAGGTATGAACACACACACATACACAGCATATTTTTCAAGCTGCCAGCACTGAGATTCAAATCACAGTTGACCGTGTGGAATCTGGCTTCCTTAATCACTAGGCAATGGGACCAGCCAAGGTTTCATTCTTTTTTTTTCGAGATTTTTGCTATAGGGCACGTACGCTCACCAAAGAGACAGAAAGTGATGTGCACACACACATCTCCAGCATGAGTCTGTATTTTTTCCCCCAAGAAAATTGCTTTATTCTAATTAACTTATTAAATGATTCCAACAACTGGTTTAAGAAGGTTACACAATTATCTGTCCAGCCCCAGATTCTACATCATTTCAATGAACTTCCTCACAGAATAATATCCTCTTTCATTATAAATCCAAAGGAAGCTACTGATAACAGAAGAGGTTTAACTGATGATTTTACACTTTATAATTTCACTGTCGATTATTTGTTCACACTAAGTTAACTTGGTCATGAAGGTCTACTTCTTATTTCTTCCACATGAAGAACTTCATTAGGATAATCCATTTGCAAATCTGCACTTTTCAGCACCTCACTGAAACCCTCACATAGCTTAATGTCACTCTGGTTCTGGGCACACTCCAAAAACTGTTTTATCTCATAGTGGCAAGGTCCAAACTGCTGCTGCTGCTCA